ATCGATTTTTTACTATTCAAAATTACTACTAGTCAAAGAGAACTAAATCATAGAGGAAAGAAACCAAGAGAGCAATTAAAGGGCACTACAACAGAAGTATTAAGAAAAAATAAGTTTGTAATTAGTAAATGTCCTGCAGAAACTTTCTCATGCTTTTAGGCTTAGCACTCACCTAAGTACAAAGTGTTTTCAGACGTTTCTTCATCCTCATTATAGAACAAGCAATTTGTCTTTCTAGGCTCTATCTTCCGCTTTTTCAGTGGTAATTTATTAACAAATGGATAGTGCGTTGTGGTTGATGGTTTTGCAAAAGCTATTTAAACTGACTAAGCTAGTTGGTAAACGTTTTGGCCATGGGCCATTTTCAATGGATGTCTGTATTACCGGTAAACCACTAGACCATTTAAACTCAAGTGTGGCTTATCTAATTATACCGATAAACCTTATTGACAAACTAATGGCGAATTGTATTCACTACTCGTTTTAACTGATTACTTTAATATAGTTACATTTCTAATGTTTAAATATAATTATCAAAATTGTAATATAGTAATCCGTATATGTTTAGCGGTCATAATTTACAATGTTAATGGTTTTGTAGTAGTAATCCCGCTCGTGATACTAACTTTTTCCCCTCAACCAAGACCTTAGAATTTTAAAAAAATTCATTGAAAGTATAATATAGTTGTAACTTCTAGCCTATAGCTGGAGATAAGTGTCGCAATACAGAAATTTCTCAGTTATCGGGTTTGTGGTCAAGGTTTTATTTTACTGCCAAGCTTTCGACTATATATTTAGTATTTCTCAAGGCGCTACAATAGTCATACCACTCAAAATTAGTGTTTACCCACGAGGTTGAAGAAAATGGTAAATTACCATACTTTGATTTATTAGTGATTAGGAATAATCAAATTTTGGTTACAGATTGGTATCAAAAATCTACTAGCTCAGATAGATTACTTCACTACAGTTCCTCACACTCTTTACAAATGAAAGTCAACATAATAATGAACTTAATTGATAGGCCTTTAAAGTTAAGCCATGAGAGTTTCTACGAATAAAACAAACTCAAGATTGAAGAGATGTTAATATCAAATGGATATCCAAAATCTCTGTATAAAAAAAACTAAATAGAAGGTTGAATGATACTGTTCCCATGGATATAACCAATAATGTTAATAATAATAACCAATACATTAACATATGTAAAAGAAATTTCAACTAAATTAAATAAATTGCTAAAAATAAAAATGGAAAATGTCAAAGTTGTTTACAAGTTTGAAAACAAAATAATGAAAAATCTTTTTACAAAATTAAAAGATAAAGAAGAAAAAGGAAAAATATCCAACGTTGTTATTGTGTTTATTGTAACAATTGTCCCACCGTGTACTACGGACAGACTAAAGAATTTTTGGCCGAACGCATTAAGGTCCATACATATGATTGCAGAAACCATAGTAGAGCGAGAACGGGACTGTCGAAACATTCAATTGAACACAAACATAACTTTAAGTTAAATATTGATGACATAAAAATTGTGGACTATGAAAAAATTCTAGTGCTTAAATTACTAAAAGAATCTATGTATCTACAAAAAGATCCCAATGCTTGCAATTTGAAAACCGATTACAATAATATTAGTACAATTTTTTCAAATTTATTAACAAAAATTAATATTTAAAAAAAAAGAATAGATTGTAATCTAGACAACGCATGTACATAGTATTTATTTGTATTTATATTAATTTATTTATTTTGTATTTATTTATTTATGTATGTATTTTTTTGTTTATAATGTATGTATTTATTAATGAGTTCTGATATTTGTAAAAAAAACGTTCAACAGTAGGACATTTTACATCAGTACGTTGAATTAGAGAGCATTGAATTACCTGGTTGATAAACTACATCGCTGAATACAGAAATTTAACTAAATATTGTATTTTTTTTTTTTTTTTTTTTTTTTTTTTTTTTTTTTTTTTNGATGACGACGCCCCGGGGCCTGCTCGCGCACCCCTGTCGGCCGCCGGCACTGGGGACCTTCCCCCCTGCACCGTAATGTTTACTCCATTTCTATTTTCCATCGGTGGTTTTTGTCAGGGTGCCTTCCCTTAGTCTTTTATACCTACGACCAGGTTGGGAAAGGGGATGTTGGGAAAAGGGATGTGTTAGGGAGTGACGAGGAGTGGACATTATGGGGAGAGGGATGGTCGCTTCTCCTCACTGGGATAACGGTGAGGAAAAGGCTCTTTTAGTCGCCTCATACGACAGGCAGAGAAACCGTGGGCCTATTCTGCCCCGGAACCCACACGGGGAAAATATTGTATTCAATTTATATATGTTCATAATTGTTTAAACATGATACCCCCTTTTCACGACAAGTTGCTTTTAACAGTTTCTTATTTAATATGATTTTATTGGCAACCAATCTGGTTAATGATCGAAGAGTTAACATGGTATTAGACCAGCTAAAATGTATTATTAACACATTAATTAATACATAAATCTCATTTGTTAACCTTGTAAATTATTAATTATAATTTCAAAATCCAAATCAAAAGGGCCATATCCTTAAAAATCGAAGAAAGAAAACAGTGTTTTCTGCCCAATGTACCATATTCTCGAACCCCAAAAAACAATTTTTTCAATTAATTTTCAATAATCGTAAGGTATTGGTTGAAATGAAAAAGCTAGTGTCACGAGCGAGGTTCGAACCCACGACCTTCGGCTTTAATTGAAAAAAGTTATTTGGTCAATCGGACCTCGAAATATAATAGACCTAAAAACAATATTGTAATAATAATAATAATCACGAAAAATATCCAATTATTAGAAAGACGAAAGAAATATCGATATTTTAAAATATTTTCTCTTAAAACTGTACTTTGCATTGAACATTGAAAAAATTTGGCATATATCTGCTAATTAAATTATATCATGCAAGTTTATTACAGTCGTATTGGCATTTTCTTTTAATTTGCGTGTAAAATCAATTGTTTTGGCCAGGTTGTTCTTTTTCATCAAAATGTACCTTACTCGCATTCGACGGGCCAGCTGTTAATCAAGGGGATGCAATAACTGTAGTCCGGTGTAATAACGTTCAGCAATTAGCAAAATAAATGTGCGCCTATACGACATAAATCTTGTTATATCCTCTCTCACAGGAGGCAGAATTGGCTGTTCTAGTCGTCTAATTTATATTTATTTTGACACAGCCCTTTTATGTTCACTTCTTGTAGGACATTTGGGAACAGGTGCTGATTAAGTAAAGTAACCGGTAAAAATCAAATGTGTATGTTCATGAGAAGTTGGACCGTGATTGACGATACTCAGTTTTGGGCCTGAGAAAGAGGTGTTTTTCTTCGACGGCCGGCATCAAGCTATCAAACCTGACAATAAAGACATCGGGTCTTTTCTATAGAAATTAATTTTGGGTCAATTCAATCAGAATCGATCTTGAAGACACAGCAGGAAATAAGAGTGGTTTAAAGTGATTGAGCCGCGCCCACAGGTCACGGAATTGTCTTCTGAAAGGACACTTTTGTTTTAAACTGTCAACTAAAATCTGCAAAGGTGGGTCAGCCTTCTCAGTAAGAAATGCTCTCCTGCATGATGAAGTAACCCCGATTAGAGAAGACATCATGCAAGTGGCAAGAATTAAAGTTCAAATAAACAGCAAACAGCACGAAATCGTCTCGTTTTATTCTTCTCCGGCAAATACAGTGACACCATACCATTTCTTTAGTTTGATTCGCCAATTCGATATGACTTTTCTAACTAGGGTGATTTTGCCAGCAAGCATGCCCTATGGGGATCGAATCTTTTCAATCGTCGTTGTATTGCACTACATTCTACAATTAACCACTTATCATCGTTTTTCGGAGAGCAAATAAATATAACACCATACTTGATATATTCATAAGAAAGCGAATCATTCATTTATGCATTAAGCCTAGTAAACTTAAAAAATCAACAGATCATAAACCAGTAATATTGGAGATCGGTTCTACAAACACATTTAAATGAAAGTCTATTTGCAGAAACTGGACGAACTTACCGATTTGAAGATCCCACTGAAGTTGCTTGCTGAATTAGCCAAGATGTAGTTCGTACAACAACTACTATTACTTGAAACATACAAATAGCTGCCAATTCAAACTCAACCTCCGAAAACCAGTATGGCTAGAATCAGTCATTCAATGGGAAAGACTACAACAAGATACAGTTAAGTACCTTGGAATGAGCTTAGATACAAAGCCGGTGGGACAAACCGTACTGCCCTACGGTAACAAATAAGCCAGTTGTGCTATATCTTGAATTCTAAGTCTAAACTGCCTCTGGCCTTAAAACACCAAATTTAACTGGAAATATCAAAACGAAATGACTGTATGGAAGTGAGATTTGGTCCTCGGTTAGTAAGTCGGAAGACAAGAGAGCGAAAACAGTGCAAAATTAAGTGTTGAGACCGATCACAGGTGCCGCTTGGAATGTGAGAAACTCCACTTTGCACGCCTACCTAGATATACCAATACCACTGGTAGGTGATGTCACCGCAATTTCTTATACCAGGCTGAAAGGTACCATGAACATCCACCCGAACACCTAATTTCACCTGACATCCCTCCTCTCCTCTCCCAATACAAAGTGTCAGACGCCTAAAAAAACTAAGACTCGGGAACAAGACCAGTAGAATATATTAGGCAAACATAAACTAGTCCATCGTTCAATCTCGTGCTGAACTTTTATCATTTACTAAGAATGTATTCAATATTTTACATTTATGTACAAGTTTATCTGCACAATCTTTTCGCTTCTATTAAATGCAGTAATTAGTCTGTGTAAAACAAATTTGGGACTCTCACCGGATAGTACCCTAAGTAAACTCACATATGAATTAGGTCTCCCTTATGTAAACGTAAACATGAATTCCGAACTAAAATGTAATATTTTACAATATAGTCTAAATATATATTAAAAATAATTTTTTGTAATTTTCTCACCGGAATGGAAATATTGCAAACTTCAGTCTGCCCGTAACGAGAAATGGTAGAATTGTCCGTCTGATTGAGTATCTCAACACTAGGGTAGTCTATGCCTGAAACAATTTAAATTGAAATGTAATAAACCTGTTAGTACAAGCCAAACATTATAGAATAGAAATAGAAATGGGTTTTATGTAGAAAAATACTCTAGATCTATGTATGGCCAAGTAGATGAAAAAAACAAATCAAAAGTTATCTGTTAAGTTTATATTCCAAGAAATTTAAAACCAGCTATTAAAAATTTCATTATGTCAATTTGTCGACATTTTTAAGTTTGTTTTGCACTAATGACGACCTCAAAATAAGTCAAAAGTCAGGCATATCAATTGAATTAGTTTTTTCATCCACGACAAAACCGAGATCCAAATTATTCGTGAGTAAAATGTTCACTTTAACAAACAACAATCCACCCCAGGCATGAAAAACCAACTAAGATATATTACGAAACATGCTCTAGTACAATAGCATTGAAATGGTACTATTAACAGATGACCAATGTCAAGAAGGGCAAACTTATCCTATGCAAGTGCCCTGCCATAGCTAGGAAACGGGTAAAATATCTGGGATGAGCATTACTGTGGAATGTAGACGAATGATACCCCATCCCTGAAAAAAATGCTGTACTTCAATACAGAAAAGAAAATCTTCCAGGAAAAACTTTAACAGAGATCGGACACAATAGATAACAGTTTAAGTGATAAAAGGGAAACTCCTTACGACTCCTAATGTGAGGGGGAAATATAGACATATACATCACTAGTACAACCAATTTGGACGGAATTGAACGTTGGTATTCAATTAAACGTTCCAACTTCTAAAGAATTATTCCTTCCTAATTAGTTCCAAGATCTAAAGAAAATCCTTCGAGCCATTGCCCAATTTCCCTGCTTTGTATCCAATATCCTTACTAGCCACAAAGGCTGCTAAACCCCAATGGTCCACGAAACCACAATAAGTCAATAAAGAAGCTTCCATAAAACTCTGGGCCTCATCCTAATCCCGTAATACAATAGCTTTTATGCCAAACTTACTCATAAACCAGCAAATCGCTTTTTTAATATAATAAATGTAACCAGAGGGAAAACAAAATAAACCATCAGTAGCCATATCGGACATAAAATTTCGATCAAATAATAATTCAAATTTGAGGGTTTTACATTTTTTCCTTACTTGATAAAATGCTGTCTATATTTAATGTGCCCAAGATAATCTTTTGTTCCGTGTTTTCGTGGAATTTACTCTCAGTCGTGTTGGTCAACGGTAAGGAAGACCTCGTGGAGTTCTTGTGCTTTATTCGGACGGTTGACGCAGTACAAAAACTGTTCCATCCTGTGAAACAAAAAATTATTAGTTATATTATTATTTTATAAATATGGCGTGAATTATAAATATAAATATATTTTTCTATATAGATTAACCATTCCTTGTAGAAGGAACGAGGACGTCAATCACCTGCAATTTTTTGCAAATGGAATCAAAGTGTAAAAGTTTGAATATTTAAAAATACCGCTTTATATTTAAAGAAAATGTGTTTTTTCTTCCAAGCTTTCAATCAGTTGCTTTGTAATAAATAAACAAAATTTTAATAGGAAAGCTCAGTTCATTTTTTGTGACACTTAACGATATTACTTTAGAAACTATTCTATGTACAAAAAAAATTCAGCGTTTTATGTTTTTACTTTTTAAACAATTATTAAATAAATACACGATTAAAGGAATGTACAATTTTAAATCGAGAAACAAATACATACGTTTTTTATATTAAAAAAGTAAAGGTCATTGAAGTTTTGTATCGTTAATGTTCTGAATCGGTAGATTTTTTTTGCACGCAAACCCGAACCTACACTTAGGGCAAATCGATCCAGTTCACCGCATGTTTTCATTTTACCGTGTTGTTAAATAAAACTCCGTATTACGTATGCTCCGTACACATAGTCTGCCATAATTTTCACCTTATTTCTTATAATGATTAATTGCTGTGTGCCCTCCTTCGCCGTTATCAAGCTTCTTTGATATTCGTCGCTTTTCGAGATAGAATTACACCTTCTGACTTGTTTTAATTATTACCGTGTTTCTGCCATATTTACTATGCCAATGTGTAGATAGGTGGTTTCACAGCGTGGATGTGGTGTTATTTTAATTATCCCCCTTATAATATTAAGGGGTTTATTTACATCTGTTTCCAATAATGACTACAAGTGTTTTAATTGCATTACATCAGTTTAAATCACTTATATCTTCATTTTTGTTAATTAATACAATTAACTTTTTGATTAAAGCAATATATTTATTGAATACACATGCATTACACAGGGATTTGTTTCTGTGAGTTCTGTTTCATTTAGACGTACAAGAGACACAGAATACAAAAACTCCATTAACTGTACAATGTCTTGTCTGAATTCGCAGAAAAAATAGCCAGAATATGTTAAGCGGTTCTTCTTCTTGTAAAAACTGCAGTTCTTCTGTCACGCATACGGTGTATGCCTTCTTAGGCAATAATGTCCAGTTGATTCTAGGGCATTTTATTTAGTTGGCTCTTGGTAAAAAGTATACAAAGGTAAAGAAACATACATACGGAACAATGGCAAATGAATAATCGAGAAAGAGCGAGAGAGAGTGAGAGACATAAAGAGAGAAAACTAAAGAGATGGAAAAGGGCAAATGAATGAACGAAAGAGAAAGAAAGAGACAGAAAAGGGTAGTAGAATGAGCTAGAGAGAGAGAGAGAGAGAGAGAGAGAGAGAGAGAGAGAGAGAGAGAGAGAGAGAGAGTGAAAAAAACTATATAAAGGAGGACAGAGAGAGACAAACAGAGAAAGAAAGAGAAATAATGAAACAGAGAATAAAAGATAAATAAATATAAAGCGACTGAAAGAAAGAGAGAGAGAAGCAGGGCATGAAAGGTAAACATATAGCAACTGTAAGATATTAAGAGAATGAGAGTGAGAGAGGTAGAAAGAGACATTTAAATAAAATTAAACAAACACAGCTAGAAAGTATTAGGGATAGATATTAGTAAGGATATAGGAATATATAAAGAGATAGAAAGAAACAATACATAGAAGAGAAAGAGAAAGTAATATGGATAAAGAGCGTGTGAATAAGGAAGAGAGAGAGAAAGAAAGTGAGAGTGAAAGGGAGAGAGAGTGAGTGAGAGTGGAAGAGAAAGAGAGAAAGAGAGAGAATGAGATAGCAAAGAAACACATTTAAAAACAAACAGAAAAAATGGAAAACTAGAGATAAATAAAAAAATATGAAACTGGGAAAGAAGGAAAAAGAGAAATAAATATGGGGAAGCACAGATGTGTATGCATATGCATTAATGTATATCAATGTATAGTATTGAGTCAATTTAAACGAATAAATCAATGAGTCAATGAGTGGAAGCGATAAAAAAGGGAAAGATAAAGGCAACAAACTAAATCCCCGAAATAAATGCAGACGAGAAAAATAAAGGAGAAAAATAAGATAATAGAAAAGCCCATCAAACAGCAAAATGTAGAGAATAACAAAGAAAGACATTGGAAGAGGCAGTTAGTAAAATAGCAAAAGATGATGGATGTGTGTGTGGGGGTGGAAATAGAGACAGAGAGAGAGAGAGAGAGAGAGAGAGAGAGAGAGAGAGAGAGAGAGAGAGAGAGAGAGAGAGAGAACGAGAACGAGAACGAGAACGATGTTACATAGCTAGCAAAAGATAGAGGTAGATCGAGTGGGTAGGATCAACGTCGAAAAGTGTTGTTGTAAATTGAACGGAAAGACGATAGGAGACAACTTACATTTAAATATAGTTTAGATATAGGAAGACGTCAGGCTTGAGGTTGGTGTTTATTAGCTGTAAAAATGCAAAGGGGAAAAGCACACCCTTTCCTTTTTCTCTGTGAAATAATATAATATAAAGTATAACGTTTAACGTCAGGCTTTTGTTTATTGTGTATTTATTTAAATAAATATTATTAGATATTCATACATTACAAACGGGCAATTAAGGTTCGAATTTCATTACATTTCATGATTAAAATAAAACCTTTTCTTTCCAGCAATTATTACATTAAAAATTTAATTTCCAATTTCATGTATGTTATGTATTGTGTATGTTTATGTTATTTATCATTTTCATTGATAGTAAATTTATCGCTATAAATAGGAGTATTATTTTATTCGCTCGACGTAATAAAACATTATTACTATTCGTAAAACCAACCCATCTCAGGAATAAAACACCAAAAAAGGTATATTTACGAAACATGCAGTAGCACGTTACATGCAACAACAGCATTGAAATAGAAATAGTAACAGATGACTAATGTCAAGAAGAGCAGACATATCCTATGCCACTGCCCTGCCATAGATAGGAAATGGGTAAAGTATCCGGGATAGGCATTCTTGTGGAATTTAGATCTACCCCAGGTATCTACCCCTGAAAAAATTCTGTACTTAATAAACAAATGAAAATCTTCCAGGAAAGCAGTGATCGTATACAACAGACACGAGTTTAAGTGCTAAAAGGGAAAATCCTTACAACTCCTAATGGAAGAGGGGAAATATAGGCATATACATTCCTTTTTTCTGTGAAATAATATAAAGTATAACGTTGTTAGGCTTTTGTTTATTGTCTATTTATTTAAATAAATCTTATCAGATATTCATATATTATAAACGGGTATTTAAGGTTCAAATTTCATTGTTTGATTGATTCTGATCTTCGCTATAACAACTTCTGCTTGATGAAATATTTCGATTGAAGTAAACTGTACAATTATAAGTTGCATAACGAAATCCAAACAATGAACAAAAACGTTCTGGTGAAATATAAATCTAACTGAAACCTGGAATGGAATGAACGGGGCTCGTATATATATCATGCCCGCACGACCGGAAGGCGTTGCAGGTCCGAGATTCCTTCCTGACATGTTCAAGCTGTTGAATTTACACCTTGGTTGATTGCTCATGAACGTTTAGTCCGCATAATTTCGCCCTTGGTCTCATGATGATGATGATGATCAGTTCTGACGACAGTTAAAACTTAATATAACCCGGGATTATGCTGTTATAAACGTGAATATTAGGAAGTAATGCTGAACACATTAATTAAATAAGACTTTCCAAGAATAAAGGAAATTGATTTAACAGGAATATGTTTAGTACGGGATTTGTATCGTTCCGACATCAAATAGTCCGTAATTACTTTCCATTTTAACTTCCGCAACACGGCTTCCCCTTCCACCGATGAGACATCAACACGATATAAGATTTTGTAAATTACAAGGATTATTGCGTTAACCCATTTTCCTCAGCTTTTAACAATAACAGTTTAAATTTTCCGTATTAAAATTAATGCTATTCTTAGTAGACAGTGTTCATTTGGTTTATAAAGTTACTTATGTTGAAATTTTACATAATGGAATTTGGTGACCTCGTAACAAAGTACAACCCCAAGGATACGGTTCCACGAAACTGGACCTAGATCCGCACTAAAACTGTTCCAGAGGTAATTAGTACTGGTCAGGCTCCAAGTTCTCTGTCTTTCATTACTACATCTAAACTCATCGAGTGGCAAGGCGTTCCAAGACATTAAAATTTAAACTAAATTACATTGCCTTTAGAATGGCGCAATTAATTAATTGATTCCTTTCAAGATTTATATCACTTGTACTCCGAGTAGTTTTAAACGAGGTAAATTTGCTGCTATTATATCACAATGTATTCATTGCAATCTAAGTGTTTCTATCTATCCACCAATCTAACAACCTTAATATCCAACAAAATGTAGACTCCAGAGCTTTAACATCTAGGTAATCTCAGCTTCAAAAGCGCGCAACTGCACATTCTTACACATATTTTAAAATAACTACGAATAAAAACATTCACATTAAACAAGAATCAACTTCTACAAATGTAATAATAAAAATATCTTCCAACAATTAAGGATCAAGAGGCTCCATGCGTGCTCAAGTTATGTTTTCATCATACTCGCTCCCTATATGGAGCCACGGCATGGCGACCGTCAACCATATTAGGCAAATCAAGCGCCCTTTCTCTAATAAATATAATAACTTGACCTCCCTACTTGAAAATAATTATTGTATTTAAAAATTTGCTAACTCTCTCTCGCACTCTTTCTCTCTCTATCAATTTCTTTCTCTCTCACTCTCTTTCTCTCTATCAATTTCTTTCTCTCTCTCTCTCTCTCTCTCTCTTCGCGTATATGACACGTTTTCTCTTTTTTCTCTCGCACTTACACTTTCTTATTTATTTATTTTTATCTTTCTATCCCTCCTTCTTCTCAGTACCTCTTCCATTCTTAATTTTTTTCTTATTCTTACGCCT